AAGGTGGTGACGAAGAGCTGCTTCGCAACACAGAATCAACCTTGACGACCTGGATAGCTCTCAGTCTTCAGTTGCTCAAAATGAGAACAGGTACAAACAGTGATTAATCATTGAAATGTGGTATATGTGAAGCTAGGAAAATTGGAAGCCCTCAAAAATAAAAGGGATTTTTCACATCAAGTACTTCTTGTGTGGTCTATGACGGATGTTACATGCTGTGAAAGAACAGAATAACAGAGCCTAAGGTCTCAGTAGTGTATAGCATAAAGACTGGGTCATCAAGGGTACATAGAAACTAGGCCCAAAGCGTCCATTAAGAACTTCGCACAAGGCACAGTCTCCCCTGGGGTTCTGCCTCAAACCCAGCTGCAGCTCTCAGATTTGAGGTGAAACGCCCTCGTGTGACTATAAACAGATGACTGCCAGTCCAAGGGCACAGAACTGACACAGTGGACTTCGTCTCTTGCTTGAAAGTGCCCACTGAATGGTGACCTGGAACAACCATATATTCACTATTTTAATGCTCTCCGTGCTTCATTATGACATGTATTAACCTGGTAGGTGTGGCTCTGCTGTTGTGAATGAATATTATTGAAAGTGTTTCCCTATCACCAACCCTCATTGCTTGTATAAAGAGTACCCAGTCACTTAAGGGTTTAATCTTCAAGTCAACCATCTATGTATTGCGGTTAATACTCAGAATTTCCTTTCCTCAACATGTTTTAAATTCTAAACCATTGGCTGAACTAGTGACGCAAGATCAAAGTGTAGTGGTGACACACTGGGCTGCTAACTGCAAGATCAGCAGCTGGAAATACAAGGCAGCTCTGCGATGGTGAGTTTGAGGTTGAACCCCAACACCTTGGGAGAAAGTTGAGGCTTTCTACTCCTGTAAAGATTTCCAGTCTTAGAAACTCACAAGGGCAGTTCTACCCTGTCCTATAGGGTGGCTATGAGTCAGCGTTGAATGGATGGCAGTGGAAATGATGCCCCCGTGGCATGATTAATGTTTTCCAACATAAAATGATAATGATATTACTAAGGTGAACCACAGACATAAACCCTAAATATAAGAATGGATTGTGGGCTTGCACTTAATTTTAGCTCCAGTCTAAGAACAATTAGTTCTTATGACTTGGCCTTGCTTAATGCCCACCCTTATAAAGAAAGAGATCGTTAAAGATATGGGTGTTGCAGCAAAGTGGTGAAGAAACTGGACAGTGTCCAGCTATCAGAAAGAATAACATCTGAGGTCTTAAAACCTTGTCTTTAAACAAGCAGCCATCTAAGTGAGGCATCAACTAAGCTCACATAGAAGGAGCCCACCAGCCTGTGTAATCCAAGGATTGTAAATAATAAAATCCAGATCTGAAGATGAGATGCTTCCTGAGCTTTATTTGTGAACACCCAGTTTGCAGAAGGTTACTGATGATAGTGGAAGCCCAAAATCCATTTGCTCAGCATACAGTTTGAAGAAGTATAAGATGCAACCCTTATGTTAACACCTTGCCTGAATTAAAACCATGCAATCATCCTTTATTCCGTTCACAAAACTGCCTAATCTATAGATCTTTATGTGTTCCATTTCAATGACTTCCAGTTTTCTTTGATTTATACTTCACATAATCCAATTATTAGATTTTGACAGCCGTTTCTTCTCATTTTGAGTCATGCGCCATCAGCAACTGAAGATCTCAAGGCTTTACTACCACAATCTTTACTCCATTCACATCACATGGTCGACTTCACTTTGAGAAGGAAACTCTCTCTTAGTCATATTTATTAGGCCTTCATCATCTGACAGTGTTTCAGTGTTCAAAGGTTTTCCTCTAAAGTGGGCATGGATTCCTTCTTCATAGTCTATTCTTAGTCTGGACGCTCTGCTGACATTTTTTCACTTTGGAGAACCCTGTTGGTATTTGAAATTCCAGTGACACACCTTCCAGCATCACATTAACACATAAGCCACTACAGTATGCCAAGTGGTGGCCACATGTACTTAGAAGACCAAATCGTGATGTCCCACAACAGCACAGTTAAGTAAGTAATGTTGGACCTCTAACACCAAAGCTGGCGGGTCACAGAGAGGAGGCTCTGTGCTCCTGTAGGAAGCACAGTTTGTTGTTGTTGTTTCTAGTTTCATTTTGTTTTGTTGTCACGTTATTGCTTATGACAAATTGCATCAGGTTTTTTTACTTGCAACTGTAAGTAATCTTAATACCATAGTAAAGGAATAACAGAGGTCTAAGCATAGAATTAATGTACATAATATATTCAAGTACCAATTTAAACAGTCCTTCTGGTAGTGTGGAAGGCAGATTTGAAGGGAGTAAGTATAGTGTCAAGAACAGTAGCTAAAACTACTTCCATTATCCATGAGGCATAATGAATGGCTGAATTAAATCTGTACCATAAGAAAAACAAATTCTGTCAAGTCAATTTAGTCTAATGGTGTGTGACTTAAGTGTGTCACCATAGAATTATGCACCACGGAATTTTCAGTACCTTACTTTTATAAAGTACATTGTCAGGCTTTTTTATTTTTTTGAGGCAGCTCTGTGTAAACTAGAAACCCCAGTTGTTGGATTAACAGCCAAGTGGGCTGTTTGTAGCACTAAAGAACTCCCCAGTATCAGAGCTATACAGATAAAAATAGATTTACAAAATGTTTCTGGAAGGATTATGGAAAAGGACTCACTGCCAATGACTGCATTACCGGATTGGGAAACAAATGCACGTCGATGTAATCAACCCGGATAAGCAACGAGAAGAGGGAGATGTTGTTGGGAGTTGCAGTGCAAAGACGACGAGTTCCTCTCACTGTCAGGACAAAACGGCAGGTTGGGCTGAAGGTACTCAGTCTAGTCTCACCGTCTACCAGCAATCATTCTTTAGTGGT